AGTGTGTCTGTGTGTTTTGGGTTTTGTGTGATTGTTTGAATGTGTAGTTGTGTGTGCATACATTGTCTTTATTATTTATGTGGTTCCGTTGTTCATGCGCACTGCATTTATGTGTGTTTCTGTTATCTCTTGGGAACACTTAACGTTTTCGTCGTACGTAGTTCAATATGTTTTCATCCATATATTCACTTTCTCCACAATGGTCTTTTAACTGATGTGGTCACATATAAAGTGAACCGTGATCAATATATAAGGAAGGCTGGGTTATTCTGTGTAGGACACGTTTACATGCTCACCTGACGGATCAGATCAAGTCTCATACCTACCACCATCTCTACTACCACAACAGCGGGAAATTACTCGCCTCACGCGAGAGAACCTGCACCTGCGCGCACAAAAAGAGGTGCTAAATGCACCTACTCTGCAGGAATTGGCCGCCCTGGAGACCATCGGTCCATATTCCAACGCAGGTGCATACAAGACCTTAAAGGACTCCCAGTTAAAGCTGGCCAAGAGCAACAGCAGTGGGCTGTCTGGGCCAGATTTTGGGTTTCAGACACCCAACACGAGTGGCATGAGTTTGGCTAGTATGTCTGCGGATGTCAAGTCGCAGGCGATGTTAAGGGGCGATCGCAAGGTATGGATATGATATATGTATATGCAGTTTTACAATCTATTTTGGTAGGGTATGTGAGGGATTTTGTGTGTGATTGGGTATATGTGTTAACATATATGTATGCGTGTATGTATATGTATATGTGTATTCATATGTATCTATGTATCTATGTATCTATGTATCTATGTATGTGCCGTTAGTATATATATATATATATCTATATGTATATGTATGTGTGTGTGTGTAATATATATATATATATACGTGTGTATGTATATATATATCTATATCTATACATATATATATATATATGTGTGTGTGTGTATATGTATATGTATATGTATATGTATCGTTAAACTTATACCAATCTCTCTCACATTTCGATGAATTCTAGCTTAATCTTTCCCTTTCTCATATTCCAATTTTTCCCAGGGTATGTCTGGGGCGCTCCAGTTTTCACCCGACAAAGACAACCTCATCACCAAGTACTTAGTGTTGGAACTCGACCCAAGGCAATTGCTGGGGCAGCCAGCAGGACTAGTAGCACATATACTGTTCATGTGCGTACGGTATCTTGACCTAGAGGAAGAGAGGGACAGAATGAAGGGCCTGTGCAAGTCACTGCTGCTGAGTGTGAAGAGCGTGTTGCTCAACAATAGCAGGTAGATCCATATATATAAATATATATATATGTATGTATGTATGTATGTATATATATATATACATATGTATATATGTATATCTATATATCTATATATCTATATATATGTATGTATATATATATGTATATCTATATATCTATATATATGTGTGTGTGTGTGTGTTTGTTTGTGTCTGTTTCTGTATGTGGCTGTGGCTGTGTCTGTTTCTGTGTGTATTTTAAATTTGCATGTATTGTATATTTGCGTGTGTGTGCGAGTGTGTGTTGTATATATATGTGCGTGTATGTGTGTGTGTATTGTATCTGTGCATGTGCGCGTTTTTGATAGCTGGAGGAAGAGAGGGACAGGATAGAGTGCCTGTGCTATTCACCGACACAGAGTTGTAAGATCGTCTTACTGAACAAAGTATATGAGGTCATGTGGGTGTGATTCGTGTAGGTATGCATTGTGGTTGATCAATTGCCAATACGTTCATTTCGCACTGTGTTGGTTTGTCAATATCTGCAATTTATCGTAGTGGCCTGATTGATGTTGTAGCTGCTGATGTGGCGCTGTGAATGATTTATGTTTGTATCTTTATCAATGTTATATATATATACTAGTTATTAGGATCAACACACAAACACATGCATTCACATACGATTTGGTGCACATTTAGTCCTAACCTTCATCTGGAGCGGGTGATATTTGGGCTGCGCGCTTTCTAAAAGTTGTCAGTCATTAGCCGGTGACAAACATTAATTGGAACTGGTGCGTATGTGCATTCACGTATGTATGTCACATACATACACGAATGTATATCATATACATACACAAATGTATATCATATACACACACGAATGTATATCATATACATACACGAATGTATATCATATACATACACAAATGTATATCATATACATACACAAATGTACATCATATATATCCAGAAATACACGCCTGTGTACTCACATTCAGATGTATTGCTGCTACAGTGATGTTGACCGGGTGGTGTTCTGGCTGAGCACGTGTTCGCGGTTTCTGAGTGATCTCAAGCAGTACAGCGGTGAGGCCATGTACGGCCAACAGGACGAGGGAAAACCACTCAAAAACTTTGATCTGTCAGACTTCAGGCGGCAGGTAGGTATAAAGCGGGGTTTTAGGGCGTAGCTGGAACCCTAAATTTTTGTACGGGAGATGTATGCTTCTATGTGCGAGTGTAATCGAAAACGAGAATATGGTATCTCAGAGTATGCCGATATATATATATGTGTGTGT